GGTTGGGGTGAGGGTATACCAGTTCTGGCCAGAGCCACCATGGATGGAAACACCTTTACTGTGCCAGGAAACAAAAATGATTTGGGGGAGAATACTGGAAGATCCTGAGTCCACTGTTTGGAATTGTTCAATATGATGCAACTTTTCTCTGCACATAGGAGCTGTTAGGAAGAAACATACAAGCCTTCTTTTAAAAAGGAAATAGAAAATGAGAAACTCTTTTCCCTTTAAGAACAATCTTTAAAGTCATTGAAATTTGTGTTTAAAGACTAAGGAAAAGTCCTTGCTGCATCCCAAGACCCTGGCATGCAACTGGAAAAAAGGATGAGGGCTCTGTCAGTATTTTGATAGAAAACATTCACTAAGTACTTTATGGCCCCTGGCTTCCAGGTATGCAAAATGCTGTACAACGTAGGTTATTACGTTACCTCGTGAGGTTATGAAACCACACTTACGCAGTGTACGCACAGCTCTGACGTGTCTGTTGCCAAGGATGCAACAGTGACCTCATTTGGTGTCTCACCAAGGCCAGCTACCAAACACTCCCTGAGAAGCCCCCGTTGCTCAGGTGGATTCCACTTGCCTCTGTCTCCCCATCTGCTACAATAGCTTTTAAAACTTGAGCTATTAAGTCTGTTCTTTCTGGAACAAGGGTCCTGGCTCCCTTGCAGTGGCCTTCAGCTGTCTGGTTAATACCCAGCCTATGCTCAGGCTGGTAAGCAGGACCATCTCTGATGGCCACACGAGGGACCATCTTATGTCCCTCACCCTCCACCTGCCCAGTTCAGACTCTGCTATCTGTTTTGTTCAGCACCCCATCTCTGCTCTCAGCCCCACCTCCCTACTCCTCATGCACAATCTGAATTGGGGCCTGTCCGGATGTCCTGAGCCTATCATTAGCTCCCACTTAGCTAAGTGTGTTCTTGTAAAACAGTCGCTGGGTCTTGGTTAGCTCGTGCTGCTGTAACAGAAATACCACAAGTTGATGGCTTTAAAAATAGAAATTTATTCTCACAGTTTAGGGTGCTGGAAGTCCAAGTTCAGAGTGCCAGCTCTAGGAGAAGATTTCCGTTCTCTGTCTCTTGGTCCTAAGGAGGATCTCAGTGTAGGCACCCTGAGTCCAAAGGATGCATTCTGCTCCTGGCCCCTCATTCTTGGTGGTACCAGGTCCCCTCTCTGCCCACTTCTTTCTCACCTCTTGTAAGATAAAAGGTATTGTAGGCCACACCCCAGGGAAGCTCCTTTTACATGGGATTAGGGCTGTGATGGGACCAAGGGTGTTGCCACCCACCCCAATCTTAATTCTTTTATACCTGATGGGCTTATCCCATCACACTATGGGGTAGAATTCCACAGCTGCCACATTATATCATTACATAACTTGTAAACCACTGAGAATCACAGCCTAGCCAAGTGGACACAAAGTTTGGGGGGACACAATTCAATCCATGACACACTGGTAGATCCCAAAAAGGAAAGCCACTTATGTATAGCCATCCTGATGGCTGCTCAGAGGTAAGCTAGGGTGGGGTCTTTGGAAGGATGCCCCGGCAGAGTAAGAAGAGAATGGGAAGTGCAAATGCTGCTAGAGGAACAGGGCCAAGGCCTAGAGCCGGGCAGAGCACCAAGGGCAGGGGACTGTCACTGGCCTGGCTGACAGGCTATGTGGCAAAGTGAAGGATCCTGGCAGCTGTCACATTTGTACTCTCCTGTGTCAGGTGAGAAAAAGCTCAGGACACCAGAGGCCAGGCCAAGGTAACTTCCTCCCTGGCATCCAGCCTCGGGCCTCTGGGTCCATAAGGCACCCACCCCCACAGACAACACAGATGCCTGTGGGAGTGAGTGCAGAGTGATGGGAAGACTGGCTCCCCAGAACAAGGAGCCAGTGTGGGACCTGCTCCAGGTACCTGAATGGCGATGACGAGGGGGGACAGCTCCTGGCTCAGCGTCACTGCAGCAGAGGGGACTGAAGAGTGCAGATCCAGGGTGGGTCATGGCAGGAGTGCAGGCTTGGGCTGCAGGGGTTCCAGGGGACGGTCCTGGAGCCACTGGCTCCATCTCCACCTCCTCAGGGCGAGCTCGGGGGCTGGGCATGTCTGGGACCTGGAGACCAGTGGGACACACGTGAGCTGTGCAGAGGGTCCATCTTCCCAGACCATCCTCCAAGTGGGCAGGGGTCTCTTCCTCCTTCCCTGAAGCCTGTGACCTGAGGGAGGCCTGGAGCTGCTGGGTCTCAGGAGCCAGCTCTGTCTGCTCTGACTCTGGGGTGAGGAGGAGTGGCCCCCTCAGAGCCTGTGCCTGCTCCTCACCCTGCTTGTTTCTCATACTCACCAGGCCCCTCTATAAGGGAAGTGGTACCCGACGGGCTGCCCCACACTACAGGTGCTTGCAGTCACCATGGTGCCACCCTGCCAACCCCAGGAGTCAATTCCACGTTGCACCCTCCAGATGTCTGCACCATCTGGGCCCTCCTCTCACAGCACCAGCTGCACCCTCTCAGTCCAGGACTCCTCATCTCCCTCTTCATGTTGGCATCCAGGGTTCCCTTGTGCTACCGTATGGGCTTCCTGGATGATCTCATCTGGTCCGGAGGCATCAACACACCTTACCCTGAGAGAGCTCCCAAACTCAATTCTCCAGCCCTGACCACTTCCCTCGACAGGAGATGGGACACCACCACCTGTACACATGGTGGCCCTTTTCACGTACTAAGTTACTGACCCCTCCATCTCCTGCTGCCTTATTAAATGCACCAGGACCTGCATAGCAGCCACACTGGGAGTGGACTTGATGCCCCTAGCTCCTGACTCATAGCGCCCCATTGGCAGGTACCCAATCCCCCGTCCTGCTGTGTCCAAGTCACCTTATGACCACAACAAATGCCTCTCTGGGGTCCCTGCTGCCTCTCCCTGGTAGTCACCCCTCAGTCACAGTGAGAGGTGTCATCTATCAGACCCTACACTCCTCCAAATCCCCATTCTCCTTCTCTCTGCACCCTGCATAATCCTGTTTCTTCAGCAAGTCAAGCTCTTTCCCGCCTCGGGCCCTCCCCCCCAGGCTCCACTTCAATCAGACTCTGGTCAGACACTCTTTCTGGAGGGTGTATCATTGCAAGAGGTGCTGTGAGATGGAAATCCCATTCATCTTTCTTATTCCCATGGCTTGAGGACATGCTCAGTGTTTCCTGCAGTGAGGAGTGAGGTAAGAAGCCTGGAGTCATCCTGAGAGGGCTCTAGGGGACAAGACAGGCCTGACAGGCTAAGGGCAGAGCAACAACAGGAGCTCGTGGGACCTCCCAGGTCCTGGGGAATTCAGAGGCCAGAGTCTGCCAGCCTCAGGACTGGACTTGTCTCCTTGGGCAGGCACTTTTCCAGTTCCTACTATGTGCCAGGACTGTTGGGGGTGAGGGAACACAGTAGTGACAATGTCCTCAGGGGCTCCAGTTGGTGGGGAGACTCCAAGACAGTGGGAGGCCAGTGTGGATGGAGAAAGGAGGGAGTGGGTAAAGCCAAAGGGCTGTAAATCAGGTCCCATGGGCCTTAACCATGAGGTAGAGGTGCTGACGGTGGGAGGTGCTCCCACCACCTTGCCCTCTGTTAGGGCACACCCTGTCCTGATACAGTGTCCTCTACCAAGGGGCTCCGCACGTCTTCTGTGACTTTTCTGGTGGTGAAAGGGAGGCTCACAGATAGGAGCAGGGTCTCCTGGTCCTTTCTGCCTCGCCAGCAGCCTCACCTGGGAGGAAGACATTTAGCTCACTCTGGATGAAGATAAAGTTGAGGGGTGCTATCAGGAGGAGGTTGCAGTGTCACTTGCTGAGAGTGAGGATGTGGCCAGGGGACCTGGATGGAGTTAAGGTGTGGCTTCTCTGCAAAAGAGTGGCCAGAAGACAGTACAGGGAATCAAGGTGACAGTGGTTGTTACCCACTGGACCCAGGCTGCTCACAGACTGCAGTGGGGTTAGGTGGGGCTGCTAGGCCGAGATCAGGAAAAGCCCAGCACTCGTAATCTCAGAAGTCAGAGGACAATTAAGGGGACAGAGGTGGTGAGACAAGGTGAGGATGACACTGGAGTCCCCATGTGTAAGAGGGACCAGCCCAGAGGAGTTGGCTTTGGCCAAACCTGGAGGGATTCCTGGGCAGAGAAGCAAGATGGGTGGAAATATGGACAGGGATCAGACACAAGGCGCCCATCCACATGGCAGCTGAGAGGATCAGACGTGAGGTGCCCATCCACATGGCAGCAGAGCACAGGAGGCGAGTGCTGACTCTGGGACCCATGAGACTGCATCTACTCACCACGACAATGCATACTTTCCACTTTCCTTCATCCAAAGGTGAAGCATTCAGTTGCTAACCAAAAGGTGGGCAGTTTGAAGACACCAGGGTTTCGCGGGAGAAAGCAGCAGCAGTCTGCTTCCCTAAAGAGGTAGTCTTGGAAACCCACGTCAGTTCTACTCTGCCCTATAGGGTCACTTGAGTCAGAATAGACTCAGTGGCAGTGAGTTTGTTTTTGGTCACCCAAGGGGAACGCGATCATTGCAATATTTACTCAATTAATTTTATTTAAAAATACTTCAAACTACCATGATTGTTACCAAATGGGGCAGAGTCACACTGCTCAATATTCAAAAATTTAAAAATATGTATATTTGGTGAAAAATCTGCTACCCTTTCTTCCACTACTTGGTTCTCTTCAGTTTCCAGTGTACTGGTGTAGAGTATTATAGGCTTATACATGCTAATACGTGATTTCTTTGCCATTTTAGCATATAACAGTAAATTATGCTTGTTTTACACCGATTTTCATTGCATGCGGGATCTTGCTCACCAGGACACTGGGAATGGGTCTGTGGCGAGCAGAGTGCCCCCAGCCCCGTGACTACATCTTAATCCCCAGAACCTGGAGCATGTTAGATACACAGTACAAGGCAAGCACAGAGAGTGCAAACTACGGACCCGAATCATCCAGGTGGACCCCATCCAACAGCAGCAGCCCTTAAAAGCTGAAGTGACGGGGCAAGAGATGCAGTAGAGAAAAAATCGCAGATTTCAAGCCTGACAAAGATTCTACGCCCCTTGTTGGCTCCGAGTTGTACTCTGGCCACGACCCGAGATAAATCTCCAGTGGTTGCTACGGGTGGTTCTGGCTAACAGCCAACAAGAAAACCGGGACCTCAGTCCTACAACCGCCAAGGAGCTGGATTCAGCCAACAACTGGCATAAGCTTTGCAGCAGATTCTCCTGGCAAAGGGCTCAGCCTGGTGATGAGCAAACGGAAACGGCCAGCAGCCACCCGCCCATCGCAGGCATCCACTGAAGGAGCCCTACTTCCTGGGGGAGAGCAGGCCCCCTTCTCCACCCAGAGGAAGAACCCACCATCGACGGACCCTCCCGGGCAGGGCACTTGGTGCTCCGCGCGTCCCCCGTTTCTCCCCCGCGCTGTGCAGTCCAGGAGTTCGCAGCCAGCAGCTGCACCCCCTTTTCCACCCCAATTCCCCTCGCGCCCGGGAGCACCGTTCAGTAGCACACCTGCCCTGTCGCGCTGCCCGTGCTCCTGCGGCGGCCTCGCCAGGCGGTCGACGCCACGGGCCTCCAGACAGGGCCCCGGGGCGCTGCAACGTCCCGCCCGGCCTCCCGCGCGACATGCCACCGGAGCACCCCGGCCGCGGAAGGCGCCTCAGGAGGCCAAGACCCCCCCTCTCCAACTAGAAGCGCCCGCCCCGCCCCCGGGAGCTCCCACAAGGCCCCGCGCGGCTCTGACCCCGCCCAGGTCGGCGCCCGTCCACCCGCCATGCGACAGCGCCCCCGCCTCGGCCGGCACCGCGGAGACTGCGCGGCCAAGCGCACGCTCAGTCAAAACTGTAGGAGCTTCGCTTGCGTGAACTCACCTCCCTTGGGGGGACTTCCCGGGCAAGGCCGCGGGGCCGTGGTGCCAGAGCCTCTTGGCCGCGGGGGACGCTTGAGCCCTGGAAGTCCCGCCCCGACTTCCGGCCCGTGGCCTGGCGCAGTCGCTCTAGGCGTCTGGGGGCAGGTGCGAGTTTGTGATTCGGCCCATGTAGCCCAAAGCTCCCTTGGCCCGGCCAACCTGCGCGGCGGTTACTGGTAGTCCGCTCTCCAAGCAAGGTGGCAATGAAATAAAAAGAATGTACTTAAAATAGAAGGAGAACTAGATAGAAATACCGTACTAGTGGGGGACTTTGCTATGAGATGAGTCGGGGCCGACTCGACGGCACATAACAACAACAACAACAACAACAACAACAGTGGGGGACTTTGGGAGCTCTGGTACCATAGTGCCTAAGGCATTTGACTGCTAACCAGAAGGCTGGCGGTTCAAACCCACCAGCCACTCCTCGGAAGGAAGGTTGGGCAATCTACTTCCGTAGTGATACTGCCTGGGAAACCCAAGGAGGGGTCGCTGTGAGTCGGTTGACTCCAGGTAACAACAACAGTGGGGGACTTTCATACACAGAGCAGATGTAACTTCACAAAAACATAAGACATACATGTCTACACACCTGGATATTCTTTAATAAAATTAGAAATTCATAATAAAAAGCTGAGAAAAAACGTAACTAGTGGAATCTAAGAAACACTCCAGATTACTTTTGAATCAAAACCGACATTACACAGAAAACTACAGAATATTTATAAAGCAATGAAGACTTCATTCTCAAACCTACGGGACCCTAGAAAGCTGGACTCAGAGAAAAAGATACAGCCATAATACTTTTTTGTTACTAAGACAAAAGTATTTAAGAAGTTAGGAAAGGGACCAATAGCATTGCTCTGCACCAGCAATAACCAGATAATATAACAAACTATAAAATGTTCCCCACAACAGCTACAAAAACTATAAACTATTGGAGAATTCCACCACTCCTCTCTCAGTTTGTCATACTGTGGTGGCCTGCATGTTACTGTGAGGCTGGAAGCCATGCCACCGGTGTTTCAAACACAAGCAGGGTTACCCATGGTGGACAGGTTTCAGTGGAGTTGCCAGACTAAGATAGACTGGGAAGAAGGACAGGGCCATCCACTTCTGAAAAAAGCTTGTCACTCAAAACCTTATGAACAGTAGTGAAATACTGT